CTTGAAAATCGTTTACAAGGAGACAATGGCTGTGGTTCGAGTATTTTTAGCGGTCTCAGGCAGCTTCCAGTTGATAGCGGAGTGCAGCAGGGATCGGTCACACTACACCTATGCTGTTCGATCAGTTGCTTCATCGACGCTTTAATCACAGAGGCGGTTACGAACTTTGATAGCGAAGTGATACTCCATCCATCGTTACTCCGGTTACAAGATTAGGATTATGCTGATGACATCGCAGTCGCTGCAAGAACTTCAGAAGGTGTTGACGATAATAGCAACCATCGAAATGCAAAGAATTGCACAATATGCCCCGCAGAATATCAACAGCATAAACATTTACGTATGTACAGATGTGCAGTATGTTACAAGTTCAGCTATTTTGGAATGATCATCGCCAACGATGAAAGCTATGAAGCAGAAGTTCACGCAAGCGTCACGAAAGCTGGAACTGCCTCTAAGACGCCGCAGCAGTCCCTGCAGAAAACTGCTTGCTGTGCATCAGTGAAATTGCTGGTATATCTGACAGCTACTCGACCAGTACTCGTGCATGCCACAGCAACATGGATTCTTGCCAAGAAAGGAACCAATGCGCTAGACACGTTCGACACCCTCCCCCTAGCGCAGATACTCGACTACGGACTAACTGATAAAATCACAGATGCTGGAAAAAGCACAGGTGGAGTACATTCACCAGAGATTAATATCTACTTCCCTCTGACTAAATAAGGAAACAAAAATTCTCACTATTCAACCATGCAGTACGATAGAACGAACAAAAAATGGTTGATCAAAATCATCATTCGTAGGTGCCAAACCCATGCTAGAAAAGGCCGAGAGGCAGGTAAAATAGTTCATGGTTGGATAGTGTCAGGGGCGAATTGATTGGAACAAAGCTGGACCGTAGTGACCTGGAAACTGCAAATTAAGCCTGTTAGACCGATTGACTTGCGACCATACTAGACGTTTCACAGAACAGAAAGCAATGGCAAATGTTGACAGAAACGCGGGATGTCGTAACTCGTTGCCACATCCACAAAGTAAGTAAGTGAATAATCTTTTCAGTTTTAACTATGAATTGACATGGCTAAAACTGCAACATGGCATCGTTTACGTTACAGCAATACTGCGTTAATGTAAGGCGGATAGCAAGCTTTATACTGGGTTGTCCTCAAAACGACGCCATCCCTTTGTTTCTAGTTGCCTAGACTGACCATTTTAGCATGCCACGGTTCTGTAGTATTTAAGTGTCTGCAGTGCCTGGGGCGCCTACACTGCGCATTGTGTTGGGAGAAGCAAGAACATAGTCGAGCACTAACAAATGGTACCCCTAGATGAGTAGAAGCCGTGAAGCGGTGCATCGTTGCGGTGCAGTCAGATGTAAACTCTACCATATGTCTTCTGCTACCGCAGAATTTCTTTAAAGCAGGCGACTTTGCAGTTTTTACCGTGTAAATTCGGTATCAGTAGTTGAAAGATAATATTTGTCAGTGGCGAAATTGGAATGCTGTCTTTCTTGGGAGCTACCTCGTGCCGTCGGAGTTATATTGTTTCCTGTAAGCTCTTGTTTTCTCGTTTAGTGTTCGACGCATACAGTGGTAATTGCCGTATTTTCTTGTTGTTGATCCATTGTAATCTAAGATTTGTGTCATACCTGGAATAAAAGATTTGTCATTTTTGGGATTAGTAGCCTCCAACATTTTGAGTACTCAATAAAATTTGAGTTGAAAGCACGCGGAGAACTTTTATTTTTCTTTGCTTAACTGTACTTTCCTTAGGCGAAATCGAGGAACAGCGGCGATCGCAAGCCACATACACAGGAAAGAGAGCCCCAGTTTACGTGCAAGAACTGTTGGAAGTATTTTAATACCAAGAAATTCTATGACCAGCACTTGTCGTTCCACATAAAGGTATGCGCAAGAGACACCGCTGGTTGTCAATTTCAAGTTGCTTGGCGAAGCTGACCCCATTGTGCTTACACGATGTTTAGTGCAGCGAAGAGAATTGCAGTTTCGAAGCAACGCCGAAGGTGCTCGCGAAACACATTCTCATGACCGTGCGTTTATTTTTTGTTTTCATGATTCCTCCCCCCGCCTGATTTCATTTTTCTGTATTTCAGCACGACTTTGTCGTAAGAAGCAGCCCAAGTAGCGATGAGAGGTGGCTAAAGGCGCGCAAACGCAACTTTCCTACCGCGCAGAAGGTTGCCGATGCGAAAGCTGAAGCTGTGCAGCCGGGCGCCAGTTCTGACAGGTAAGCGGGCTCATGCGCATGGAGCGCACTTGTGAACGTATTGTTTAGCGTGTTTGGATCTCTTGCTTTGCCAGACCGCCACAAAAGACCGAAAACTAGCGCGTCGGATTGTGAAAACCGTCAGCCGACTCCAAGACGTGATTTCGATGATTCCAAATGCAACGGTGAACATTTTTGACCTTAATGCTTAGTTGTTACATTTCACATCTCCGTCATTTTGTGCTAAAGCCAGTCTGTTCAGTTGATAGTTTTGTAATCTTCTGTTACTTCTCTGGATTTACGCGACATAGTCGCGCCGGACGTTTGCTTATAGTAACGTAGGACACCGTTGAAGCAGTTCAAACCTCCATGATAGTTTTGCTGTTAGTAAATTTAAATTCGTGAGACTAACATCTCATAGATAGTGTTACATCTTCATCACTAAATATTGAGAGCTGCGGCTTGTAGGGCAGCTTCTCTCATTCGGCTTTGTACTTTATAGGTGAAGGTCGAACACGTGACATATGGTAAATTTCTTTCATTAACTGCAAATTTCTGAGCCTGGAATGCGTCCCTCTGTTATTCATTACAACCCTAGGCGAAATGGATGGCTGATCGAAACCTTCAAGCATTAGGGACAACAGGGTGTCCTGATGCGCTCATTCCAGAGTTTGTAAAACGCACGATGGTGCAGTCTGAGGCTTGTGCTTTGCGATTTTAGATTGTCTGGACTTGCCTGATACGTGACTAAAAATCAGCAGCGTGTAACTGTAAATGATCAAGTTCATTATAAAATAAAGTACAGTATTTCGGCTAATCAGTATTGATCTTCCTCAGATATAACGAGATATGCTTGAAGAAGATTAGCATCAGCCTGTCATTGAAAGCCTTAATGAATTTTGCCTGATTAATGAGCGAACGATGGCAACTTTTTAAATTAAATTAGTTAGTAACTAAGTAGGCTTATGCAGTTATACCTATTCTTTCCTTGATTCATAACTCAATGCAACAAGTTACTATTGCAATAGTCGCAGGCCCGTTTCTCCCTTCACGTCATATTCAAAGCAACTTTTGCGCAATGTTTAATGTTGCAAGAGAGTTTAAGACTTTTTTACCGTTTTATCGTCAAATAGCATTCCTCTGTTGTCAGCCGCTGTATTATTTCAGCAGTTGCACATATTCACTATTGAATGGCAGGCATCATTATACGATTTTTAAAAACAAAGATGAAAAGATTACTGAGGGTTCGTTTTTTACACTTTGCAGAGATCCAGTCAACAACATGTAAGACATTTTAAGTTCAGGCACTAACTTTATAATTTAATCGATCTATTAGTTGATGATGTGCCTAAACAGTTGTTCTGAAGACGGGGTTTCTGTGTTGTTGTACAAGTTACGTAGAATTTTTCACTTGAAACCGAGTGATTTCAAGGGAATCAGTTGGAAGGTGGGTAGCTTCAAAGGTGAAATCGACGGCCAAGAAAGCAAATGTTTTTCGTAGATGCTCTGGTTTCTGTTGTCCTTGCTCGCGATGTGATGGCGATTTAGACATGAGGTTTCTTCTCTCTTCTCAGATTTATATGAAAAAAAATCATGTCGAACACCTTAAAAACATTTGCATTGCTATTCTGCAGTCACGCCGGTTTCGCTGCGCCCGAAAACATCTCTTCTTGGGAGTGCACGAAAGCCGACTAAACTATCTGACAGCGCTAGTTATCATGAATGGTGTATACCTAAGATATAAGGCAATCATACAATAAGTAGTCACCTACTTTTTCACGTTAGCCTCTGGATATATCGCATTTACGTATAGCTAGAAGACGAATGATTCGATCATTAGATAGTTAATCCTGACCTAATCCGCAGCAAATGACTTGACAGCCGCAGTTTTCCTGATTTTTTTATCTCATCTCATCTTTCATGGCCGCTTCTCCTTTCGGGTCGCAGAGGCAGACGCGTC